AGTATGACTTGTATCCGTCTATAATGTTCTTATTGGACTGAACTTTATGGTCTGTGTGTGGAAACATAGGCCGATAATTAAAAGACAAGGAACCCCGGTACGTTATTGATATGGTTACTATTAATCATTAATGTTTGACCGTAAATGCTCCATGAGATGCACCTTTCCATACTGCGGACACCATCGAATGGCTAAATCAATATCGTGGTCCATTTGGACTTCTGCAATTGACAGAACGTCGATTTCATGTACGCGGTAACGTGTATGATAGATATATTGTGTTTCTTTCCGCCTGCTAATCTGAATTGACTGAAGTTTCTATAAGACCAGTATTTAGGTCGCTCGATAGGGGAGAGCTGTGCCCGAGTTTAATATCAAATCTGTTTGTGAATCATATATAAAGGACACTGGACACATCAGTCGTAATACACCGTTCTGATTTTGTCTTGTTGTAATGGGCAATTGGTGAAGGGCTGAACATTGAAAAAATGTCGATCGAATTACTCGCTAAAAATAGTATTATAGAACAAGTTATAATGTATTTGATTGAAAAGGAATTGTTCAGGTTATTTTTTCTAATACGTCAAGTCATCAACGCCTTGTTATCATGATATAGTTCCAACTATTCCATGTCTTCACTTGTTTATACATAAGGATGCCAGTATTCCCCCAACACTGCATTCTGATAATAAGGAGATAACTTGAATAATGACCAATATAACTGGTTTATTTTATGTAGTTTTTCACAAAAGGAATTATGCCTATTTTTAGTTATGGTATTTCCCCCCCAGTTTGTCCGTTTAGTTTACAATCTAGAGCTATTTGTAGATGCTGCATTGATTGCTACAATTTATGAGATAGTTCCTTTTTCGTCTGTGTTTTTTCTTCGCGTTTGTTTAAAATACCAATAAATGCACGCTACACTTGAAGCTACGATCGCCTATTAGACCGATGAGAAGATAAAGTTCTGGACAGTCGTAATGACGCCTTATTATGCGATTTAACTAGGGTTTTTCGCGTAGTGATGTGTTTTCCGCGTTCTTACGAGTTTTCAATTATTCACTGTCTCATAAGTGAACCCAAAAGGAATTTTCACAACATTATCGTTATCTAAAAGCTATATACCCGTACATATCCGAACGATACAATTTTAGCAAGGTACACACTGAAAGAAAATATCCCGGTTATGTGTTGTATGATGACATTTGTATATGTGCCTTTTTTTAACTCTGCATTACATAGTTGTTGTTTTTGCGAAAAAAAACACCGAATCGTCTGCTTCTAAATGTAACATTTTTACTACAGTATCCTAGTGGACCTGCAAAAGTTTATAAAGGCCTTGCAAGGCTTTGTCAAGGCTCGCCTGAAACGAACAACTCTGGTCCAACTGGCTCAACCGTTTGGATCGCCATAAACGAAAGCGGCCATTATCTTCATATTGGAACATAGTAGGGGTTGTGTTCTACAAACAACATGGTCGCACACATCCACCAGGGTACGCTAGGTAAACTAGGGACAGTTGATTGATGTCGGACATATGGGGACAATCACCTCTTAGTGAATTTTTGGGTGATTGATATATGGTAAAGTAGGCCAACTTAAGAAAAGTGCTTCGGTCGCTAACCCCTGGCTTTATTCACTAGTCTGTTAATAAGATATGATGTATTGATGTTTTGCTGGAAAGAATTTGATATATTTGCCGGGATACGAGCACTGAATGGCGGACATTTTGTTCTTTTGTCGTTATAAAATTCGGTAACATATCATAATCTCGTACATACAAGAGGTAGTAAAATCTTTTGTGGAAATTTTATGAATGCATCTTTACAATTTTTTGTTTAAATACGTCTTATTTTTTGAATTCTTTAACTTCATGGTTTAAACAGTGCAGTATTAACAATAAAACATATACCATACAACATGTACAGATTATAATAAGTACACGTATTATACAATACAAACAATACAGAATGGAGAGTGCAATCAATTAGTTAGTTTGTTTCTCCTTGTTTTGAGATTAGCCGTATCGGGAATAAACCGTGTTTACAATACTTTACATTTGTGCATTTTCAAGATTAAATGGGCATCGAGCTGAAACACCACAAAATTAATAAGAAAGAATTCATTGAATCAAAATCAGTGTCTATTTCTATCAAAATCAATAAGCTTCAGGACTCTTCAAGTGAAATTTTCGAAACGCATAATAAGTATTTTGTGATATCGTTTTGTCTTTAGATCCTTGGGGAGAAATTTATATCAAATAACCATAACGTTTTATTGAGGTAGGAAATTAAATAAATGTATAATCAGAAAATACACTGATTTTACTTGTATGAATATGAGAACCTAGTTTATGAATACGTTGAGAATAGTTTGTATGTACAAATGACATTATGTTGAATGCATATACATGTTTGAGAATGTGTTACATGTATGAATGTGATTTTTTTTTTGATATTTTATTTATTTCCAATTTAACAGACCCAAGGGTCCACCTACAGAATGGATAACAACATTACAACACAAGTATAAAATATCACAGTCAGTTATGCATGTAACACAGACTAAAAGATACTCATATGTAAAACAAAAGGAATTAGTGATAGCAAATAGTCGTTCACCGTACTTTGAACTCTGAGAGTGAGGAACAAAACATATATTACAGTCTGGTGCAAAATCAAGATAGTTAAAATTACATTGAATCCTGTTTAAAATACTTTACTTTCTAACGTTTATTCTGTTTCTCTGGCAGTAAAACTGGTTGAAACGAATTGATCGTAGATTACGATCAGGGACTAAAAAACACATTTGCTTGACAAAATATGACAATCAAAAGCACTATTAACACCTTTGTAAAGAAATACAAAGGAATATATTATGTATAGTTGATTATAGTTTGTATGTATATGTGAGAAAATTTGCATGTATATATGAGATGAGAGAAAATCTTGTATGTATATATGAAAATATTTTCTTCATTGGACAGTGAAATTACGACAGGTTGTTCATATCTCAAACCTTCGAATCAACATACACACTAGTATATATGATACAGTGTGTTGTATGTATTGAATAGAGTAACGAAGGCTATGTTGTATGTATTCGTGCGAATATCTTGCGTGTATACAACAATAAAATATAAGAAGTGTTTTATGGTTTTATGGATATCAGTGTTTTAGTTCAGAAAGTTTCATTTTAAATGCTGAGTGTCATAAAGTACGGTTACACGATAAAAGACGAGAGCGTTAAAACGTGTTGGATCTCCTGAAAACTACTTGTAACACTTAGCACTAGTGGCCAGCTAGCGTTATATGCTTTCCTGGACTTTGAAACCAAACATTCTATAGACTGAACAATGCTGATTAGACCGAAGCTCGGGCCTCGTCAGTCTAACTCAAAGCATTTACATCCCTGGGGAGTTATATTGAATGGCTATTTCTGATTAATAAATCCATTTGTACTATTGCCACTTTTTTTCATACACTGAACGTAATTCTACGTTATTCATCTTTGCCAGAAGCTCAGTGACGCGTATTTGGCTTTCAATATTTAAGTTCTGGCATGCATTACATGTATACTATTCCCATGGCGTATTTATCAATACATTACCTATGTGATCAATATGTATTATGTCATGGCTCAGTACAGAGTATATTTCCTTTTGTCAATAAATTTTCCACTTTTTCACCGTGAATGGAATATCCAACCATTCGTCACACTCTCAAAAAAATCCTAGTTTGAAAGTATTCCTATATATTGACCTTCATGCATAAACCGATTTCCCTCCATGCTTGTTTGTGGTTTAACGTCCTCGCAAGAGCCAGGTTCACATGTGATCCGCGTTCTTTTTTTATTTCACATTTTGTAAGAAATAGTACCCATTCTGAAATAAGGGGAAATTCCGGATCGAAGGTCAGCTTTCTTACATCGTTTACTTTATTCTTATTTCTTTTATCAGCTTTTATTTCTGCTAAATGTATGCTCACTTTTTGCCTATCTAAATAAATATAATGTTCCATCAACATTTGTGTATGTTTTTGTTTATTTAATGAGTAGATGGTTTGCTATTTCATGAGATTTTTGCAATACAATTTGTTTCTCTCTACTTCGGGGAGACTTTTTTCTGTTGTCTGTTTATGAATACGACTCATCTTCTGTAGTAAAATAGATCTAGATAAATATCTGATTGTGTGTACTCTTCCAAGTCATGTATACCATACCGTCTTTGCATGTTGTGTCATTTCTGTCTATATGAATTCGACCAAGTCATTGTTTACAACCTATATATAAATATATGTTTACATCTATATGTGGAGATTTCCAGCTGCATTCCAGTCGGTACAAAATATTCTTTCAACTGGTAACTTAGTACTGGGTACTGGCCCTTGTTGAACCCCTTAGAATGTGTACCAAGTCATTGGTATCAATTTCGGCGTGTCAAACACGTCCTGAACCAGCTCCATGTCACATGAATTGACCGACATTTTCAGTCATTGTGGTAATCAGTTGGTCAATTAAAGAACAGTGATTAACTTCAACCTTTTTGTATGGGATGTTACACATCAAATAGTTTAGCTTCTTCTGACGTAACTATTTGTTTTCGTTTTATTTTCATAAATAGGAGGATTTCGTTCTTCAAGCCAATTGAAATGAGAAAAAGACATTTGGTCAAATAGGGATTTTTTTCAAGGGAGAATATATTCAGCTCCATACATTAAATGTTTAAAGGAAACTACTGTTCATGTCGACGATTTGTAATTGTATGTTGTTAAAAGATGCAGCAAATATGCAGTAGAGTCATGAAAGGCTTAAACCTTGAAATATAGCGAAAAAGTAAAACTAAAGTCATTTTTTTTTTTTTTAAACAAGTTTGTAATTGATGCATCTCAGAAATGCCAAACCAAAGTAATTAATTTGCCGTCCCAAATGTGTGCACTTTACTTCAGCTTTCTTATGTATATATGAGGAAAATAAACGTGAATAAACACAAACAAATGTAATTAGATTTTTCAAATTTTATATAACATTGTGTACTATATTGTATACCAAAAGTAGAAAAACTAGCATGGAAACACTGTAAATGGTGCCCAGCTAAGCATTCAGCATAAACATTACCATCGTCACTTTTATGTAAGTGTTCACAGTGTTCGTGTAATTGCCTACAGCAGTTCTCACAATAAGCCGTCAAGTCCGATAACACACGACGATTCAATATAAATGATGTGGTCCATAGCTGGTCCCGTATGAAATAGTGTTCGTGATGTTGAAAATGATGACCATTTCTCCATTGATGTAAAGAGTCCAACTTTAACTTTTGTGTCCATTTACACTTGAAATATGAATATTTGCTGCCATTTCTTTCAGTGCCATTATAGTTCCTATTTCGACAATTACTACACCATTCATTAATATAACAAGTTTTTAAAATGTCACATAAACTATATACACGATTAAGAGTCCGTTCTTTGTCAGGATTTCCCGATGAGTTTAAGAAAGTTCTCCGGTAAAGCTGCTCCCACATTGACGAACAGACTTTTTAAAACGTTTAGTTCCTTTGATAAAAGTTCGACTTTCTTCTGTAACGACTCGTTTTCACTGACTAAGTCTTCGACACGACTTTCTGTTTCGACTTGTTTTATTTTTGCCTTGTCTCTGCTTTTTCTCACAGCCACGTTGTTTCTCGAACGTTTATCCCTATACTCTTCGCTTTCCTTATCAAGTTGACGTTTCCTACTTTGCCGGACTGGTCCAGCCCCGGATGGTTTTCGTCCCGGTCTTCCTCGGGGGAGGGGACCACGAGGTGAGATTGGCTCCTTAGAAGAGGATGCTGTGCTCGGAGTCGGCGACAAGGGTGCCGGAGTGCTCGGTGGGGTGGGCGGGGCACTCGCACACGTTGTAGTTGATGTCAACAGGCGAGTGACCGGTTCGAGGAGCACGCTGGACTGACAAGGGGGCAGCCCCAAGTCCTCCGGCTTGATGGTGACAATCTGTTGCCACCCTGCCCTCTCGGTCCCCAAGATATCCTCAAGAATCTGTCCTTGCTGCATATATTCAGTTTCAGGTTGAACAATTGATGAGAATTGTTTCACAGTCGGTCGAGTGATGTTTTCGTTCACAACTTCGTTTCCGGTATCAAAATCGTTTGAGGCGTGACCACCTTCAAGGTCGAGGGATATATAATCCTCCAAATTTGGTTCACCGATTAATTGACTATTTAGAAGTTTGTCAATATCAACAGAGTTCTCAAGTGTAGGATCTAGATCTGGTAAAAGTGATCTTTCTTCTTCCCCATTTACGACCAAAAAAGCACTCTTCAGCTCTTCAATGCCGATATCGTACAGATGGGGGGATTCCGGTCCAGGGGTGGTCAAGGTTCCGTTCGGACATGGTGAACCCGGGAAATTATTGTCATTAAATGATAAAATTGGAATATCCAGCGCTTTGCCTGTTTGTGCAAACAGGTTAGACTGGAACACAGACCGAGGTCCGTACAGCACACGCGAATCGTTAAGATTCCGGTTGGAGACGTTCACACTTTGGTAGTTAGACATACCCAATGACGATTTCTCGTCGAGGGGTTATATTTATAACCAAACACCGCGGACTCAACATATATTCCTACGCCGAATCAATCCACTTTCATTTCTTCAATCCTTAAAAAATAGGAAATTGCAAGTATGCTAATAATATTTTATATCAATGTTCAAAAGAAATTTACAAAACTAGAACATGCCACTTTCGTTAAAATTAAAAACGTGTTTCTCTATTCGGTAGAACTACATTTTTACAATCGCCATGTTAATTCGATGAATTGCGTTATTTCTAGCATATGAGATCATACTGCTAGATGATTGGTCATATTTTTAGAAATTACGTCTGCCTCGTTTGGCGAGTGGAATATCCCCAGTGACGGTGTAACCTGAAGGTATGTGTCGTTATCATTTTTTAGACAGTCGATGTTTTCAGTCTGGATGCGTTAATTTCTTTACGTTAATAAACTTCGGTTATCCCATTCTGCCCGTAAAGTTAATTTTACACACGTATTATGACATATTTTAAAAGATTAAAACAATAAAATAAAGAAGTTTTCCTTTTTCACTTTTAGCTTATTTCACGAAAATCCATAACAATTCTTAGAGGCATTTTTTTTTTGACCAATCGAACGACGAAAAATTATCAGGTGCGTTGCTTACTAAGTTAGGGGTTTTCCGTTTTTCATTGGTTAGTTTGCTATTGCATCACAGTTATTCTGTGTAGATTATCAAGCCCAGTAATTTTCTTACCAATTTTCTAACCATACGAAGCCGACAGTTGCAAGAAGAAACGACAGTTTAAGGACTCTGAAGCCAGTTGCAAGGTGGATATATACATTCAATAACGACTAATGAAGGTTGCGGATGTGTATTTAAATTATAACAAAGTATATTTTTGGTGAAAAATCTATGTTTTGATTACGAAGTAATTTCCTTCCTAGGTTTCTGTTTAGGTTTGATTTACATGTTGAGAGAGTGATGTCGCAATCATTTGCCACACGTCAGCAGGTAGTTTATTTGGTCTAATACCAGAAGAGTGTTCCTAATTGTCACTAACATAATGTTCCTGACAGTTACAACAACAACAAATTGTTATGATTTATTGTGGTAAGGATTGATAGTGAATCACTATGGGGTCAAATTGATGTATTTCATCAGACAAAAATATGGACGACATACATGTCTTAACTTAGGCCTATACACTAGTATTCCACCAGAAGTATGCAAGGAAGCATGTCTGTTTGCATTTTATCAGACACATGATACATGCTTGTATTAGTTTCTGTAAAGTATAACCACATGAGCCTGACATTTTATCAATACTGTAACAATCTATATCAACAAAATACTCATTATACTCAATCTGTAAAATGTTACACAAAATCCAAACTCCTGTGCCTTTTCATGTTTGCCCTCAGTTTGTTTGTTGTGGCTGTATCAAAACTGGAACAACCTCCCACCAGATCTGATCTAATCTGAAACTTTAGAAACCTTTAAAAGTCATTTTTTATCTCGTCTCTACGCAATCAGCTCTGTTCTCACTCTCTTTTCATGTACATGAATACAACCCAAACATCGACATGATCTTCAATATGATGAAGTAAGTCGATTATCAGATAGAAGTAGTAGAAGAAATCATACATAAATGCTTACTGTGATTGAAGCTGATTCACCGGTACAGATGAGTGTGTGAAGCCAGCTCACCATTAAACATGGTCTTAAAACTGAAATGAATTCTTAATGTTTTAACAGGGACTTAGACAGCAATCTGATTTCGTGGTGTCAGTATAAGGTGGTTTCAGTACTTGAAAATAAGACAAAAAACATCGAAGAATCTTGAAATATAAAATCACTAAAACACTATATGCAAGCCAAGTGCATGGTTGAAATGTTACTTCTAGTGATAGAAATCTTTTTAATGTTTGGAAACAACTTTTAAGATATTTTGGAAAAAGATTCATCAGTTTGGTAAGAAAAATTAAAACTAAATTTGTTTTGAACACACACAAAAATTGAAAACATATTTTGTGAGCTTTCAAAAATGTCTGTTTCCTTTGTCAAGCAAAGAGTGTAGATGACCAGTATGTCGACTCTCAACCACTGAAAACAACTAACTTCCTAAAGCCACAGTTTGCTGAATCATCAAAATCAGCTGTCAAAAATCTGAACCATTTTGCCAAATAGCTCTTTGATACTGCATGCAGTCAGGGGGACAGAAAACATGATTACCCTTAGTTAAAATAGGGCCTTTATGACTTTAAAGAATTTCCAAAACATCTTATACTAGTACTGATCTGAAACATCTTTGTAATGAAACAACTGAATACCATTTGTCTGTACCCAGTCCTGAAATACCTCATAACTGTATAGTAATTGTAGTAACCAAAAAAAATAAAAAATTGTCTGAAGACAATTCAGATAACCACTTGCATTATTATAGATATTAAATATTTATAAAATGTTTGGTATAAAACTCTTATAAACATCATTGTTTTTGTTCAGACTTTCTATAACTTATTATGATTCACACACAAAGATTTCAAATGCAGTTTAAATAAATGCAACCAACTAAATATAGTGTACATGCTTTAAATGTGCATTTACTTATCTTCCGAAGGTTTTCCTCTTGATACACAAAATCTGCTCATGACTGGTACTTGTGCCTTTTCTTGCAAAAATAATCTTCAGGACAAATCTGTCAATAGCTTACAAAATTAAACACATTTTTTTTTTGCAAGGTGATCATAAGGTTAACTAGTAAAAAAGCAGATAATGCTAAACCAGTTGAAATGTACTACATAGTGGAATTGCCTACTGATACAAACCAAAACATTTGTATATGTTCAAATATGTACATTTTTTGTTTCAATATTTATGATTAACTTGCTAAGCTAATTATATTTAAAAACTGACCCCTGAAGTATATCAATGATGACTTTTCAGGCAAAGTGTTTTGATTTTAATTAATTCATAGAAGCGGAAACTCTTACAATGATCAAAGCAGTGGTTTTCAGAGTTCTACAAAATCTAAGCCATATGAAAAGAAATCTTACCGAATGCTGATTTAACAATATTAGAAATTAGAATTCAATGTAATTACCAGATTTGTTTCAGGAGCATCCTTTCTGAAACCTCATGTGCTTCATAATTAATATAAAAAGATATACAGTATATATACATAATTTGGTAATTCAAAAAGATGAAATAATTTTTCTAAATTTTATCTTTTTATAGGTTCCCAGTTTAAGATAAAGAGTGAAACGGACCACTTTGACAGCCCCACTGCCTGGAGAACATTTCTATTCTGATTTAATAAGTATGCCCCCAAAGAGAGATATGGAATACGACAGCATGTCCGACTCGGACGAAGAAATGTCTGATGGAAACCTCTGCAAGAAGTCGAGATATCAAAAAGGAAGTACCGAGTATACCAAGAGAAGAGAAAGAAATAACATAGCTGTCAGGAAAAGTCGCGAGAAGAGCCGTGCCAAAGCGAAGGAAACAAGTGAGCAAGTAAATAGGCTTCGTAGTGAGAATGAAATGCTGGAACAGAAAGTTCAAATTCTGTCCAAGGAACTAAGTGTTTTAAAGGATTTGTTTTTAGCCCATGCTGGATCAGTTTCCCAGAGCTGTGCAGGCAGCAACAACACTAAAGAAGAGGCCTCGACAGACCACGAGTACTCCAAGATGAATTCCCAGTGACTAGAGGCCCAGCTTCGTCTTTTCTTTAACAAACGGACATTAGTGGAAATGACTTTGTGCAGTAGTGTATTTATTTTTTTTGTTAAAATACAGAAGCGTCTGTTTTTTATCAGTGGGTTCTTATAGCATTTCTTGTCCCTTAATCCATCATCTATATTAATCATTATTTAATCTGCATCAAACTTTCATCTTTAAAAAATAATGTGTTAGTCATGATTGTACATGTACTTTAATACTGACATCCTCAATATGTGTGGTAAATTATGATATTGACATTAGTTTTCTATAGTGTGCATATTTGCATACTGTAAAAGTTGATTATACCCACAAGGAAATATTGATTGTCATTTTTTTTTTTAAATATCAGTCTTTAACAGCTGTTGTGAATTGATTTTACTTCAGCAAAGATGATTGAAATGTGTATGCTGTTACCATCAATTTTCAGTAATTGACTGAACATTTTAGTTAAGTATTAATGTATCACATGCTGTTGTGTTATGCTATGTACTGAAAGCTTAAGTAATTTCGGTGTGTAAAACTTCCGTTTTATTATTTGGTACCTTGAAAATTTGTGATGAATCTACATGCAAGATTTGTATTTCACAATTTTGATATAGCACAAGGGAAGTAACTCTGAGGAAAAGAAAGTACATTGGTGAAATAGATATAGTGTATTATTGGGCTTCATTGAATTGTTAACAATTTTTTTATCAACAGTACTAATGGTACCAATTCATCCTTATTGAAATGTCTACCAAGTAAGGGTCTTGACATGAGGAAATTTGAAAAAAAAAACTGACTAAAAAATGTTTAAAATTATAAAGTTTATATAAGTAGTATCGAAATTGTCATTTTTTGATGATGTAATAATACTATTTCATTGAATTGTTCCATATAAATTGAATGAAGTGTATCTGATATTATTGATGTAGATATGAACCTGCCCAAAATACACATTTAGTCAGGCCTAGTTTAATCACTGAATATTCGTATTAAAATAGCATAGCTTTGGTAAAACTGTGTATATGGTGTAACGTTTGTTAATGATTTCATTGTATATTTTTATTGGAAGCTTTTCTTTTTTTGTTTCTCGGTTGGATTTAATTTTGTGGTTTATGCATTTTTAAAATCAAATCTTGAAAAAAGGAAAATCAGTAGTACATTTTGAAAATAAATTGCGTACTTTTCAACTACAAATATTTCTCTGGAGTTTTAATTGATTAAGTTAAAAACCACTTTAATTAAAAAAACAGTTTTATATTGAAAAGTTTCAATCTGTTAAATGAAAATGTAGAATTCCTATTTGATCTGAATCGATTAGTAAAATCATGAATATATTAATGTACAAATATGATACAATATAACAATCATATATTATTCAGTATTATTGTCATCACTGTAATTAATGTTTTTCATATGTTTTTAGCATGCATTGTAAAAATTACAAGTTAATATTTGGATTGCTGTTGTGCGTGGCAGAACTAGAATTTCTGCATGGACAAGGGGAAACTACTCTGTGGTAGAATAGTAGAAAAAATAGTTCTTATATTAATAATGTTTTGTGCACATACATGATGACTTTTATTAGTACATTTGACATCATTATTTACCATTGACCTGGAAGAATTATCTAACAAGAATTAAATTTCAGCTATTTTCTAAGAATTTGTGTAAAGAACTAACTTGTGGTCTCTTTTATATGAATGGTTTTCATTTAAAACAAATGATATATTCAGCGTTTTTTCATAATTTGAAGTGGATTCTTGTGTAACTCAAATCTCTATTGTAATTTTGTGTGGAACTCTTACCAATTTGAATTTGTCGCTGAAAACAAACCAAGTGACAAATAATCAGTTATATAACATTAAATATATTGTATGCTTGGTAGCGGTCATATTGTATATAAAACCAAGTTTTTCATTAGATATTTCATTAAGCAATTGTATGTTTACATATTACTATTGTAGTAGCCGTATAAAAATTGTTATGATTTATATTGTATGTGTTTGTCATTTATTGAAGAGATCAATTTGCCTGTACAAAGCCCAATTTCCTGATTTAGATAGTAGTCGTGTCACTCAGAGATAGCTATAGGTGACTAGTGGCGTCACTCGGAGATAGCTATAGGCGACTAGTGGCGTCACTCGGAGATAGCTATATGCGACTAGTGGCGTCACTTGGAGATAGCTATAGACGACTAGTGGCGTCACTCGGAGATAGCTATAGACGACTAGTGGCGTCACTCGGAGATAGCTATAGGCGACTAGTGGCCTTGTAAGTTGATAACAACATCAGACAGTTGTAGGAACTAGTAATATTGCAGTCATACTTTAACCTTCACGTTTCAGAGTGACTCATTATGGACGACTGAGATGATGTTTTCCGCCCCTAAGGGTTTCTTGTATATATTTCACCAACAAAAACATAACGCATTCATGTGTAGCTGAAATGTTACACATCAATGTGTTCGTATGTAGCAGAAACATAACACAAAGTCAATTTGTAGCAGAAACGTAACGACAATGTGCTTATGTGTAGCAGAAACGTAACGTGTTCATGTGTGGCAGAAACATAACAACAATGTGTTTATGTGTAGCAGAAACATATTAAACACAAAGTTAATTTGTAGCAGAAAAACTTGCCACAATATACCTGTACAATGTGTTGAAGCAGAAATATAACGCAACAATGTGGTCGTGTGTAGCAGAAACAACTATGTGTTTGCGTGTAGCAGAAATATAACAACAATCTGTTAATGTGTAACAGAAATATAACACGTGTTCATGTGTGGCAGAAACATAACAATGTTTGTGTGTAGCAGAAACATAACGTGTTCATGTGTGGCAGAAACATAACAATGTTTGTGTGAAGCAGAAACATAATAACTATATGTTCATGTGTGGCAGAAACATAACGTGTTCATGTGTGGCAGAAACATATCAATGTTTGTGTGTAGCAGAAACATAACAACAATGATAGTGTGTGGCAGAAACATAATGTGTTCATGTGTAGCAGAAACATAACAACAATGTGTTTATGTGTAGCAGAAACATATTAAACACAAAGTTAATTTGTAGCAGAAAAACTTGCCACAATATACCTGTACAATGTGTTGAAGCAGAAATATAACACAACAATGTGGTCGTGTGTAGCAGAAACAACTATGTGTTTGCGTGTAGCAGAAATATAACAACAATCTGTTAATGTGTAACAGAAATATAACACGTGTTCATGTGTAGCAGAAACATAACAAAACTTGTTATTGTGTAGCAGAATTATTTCACACCAATGAGAAACTAAAGTGTGAAATAGAAATATACATCACTACAGACTTAAAAGGCTGAATATTATAGCAAAAATATATTACAGCAATTACCAGTAGGTAGCAAGGCTGTGTTAATGTTCGGCAGAAACATATCTCGGCAATTTGGTAGCTAGGCTGTATTGATGTTAGTCAGGAATATATCATATTATCAATGGGTATCTAATGGAATTTAGATAAAGCTTCAAGTACATGGGTCACCAACTTCTATCATCCCATGAAATCCTTCTGAATGCTGTCGTGTAATAAAGATGTTTTTGATGCCGACATAATGTAAGATTGATGACAAAGATAGCACAACTTCATCACTGCGTTACTGCTGTATCAGCTATAATTGAATAGGAAAGAACAAATATTGTAATATTACATATGTTTATTTACATACAGATCCATGCATGCACATCGTTCACAATTTTTACATTCATCACACACATTCGTTACACAGCATACATTACTAACTCTGTCTTAACTTTGTTTTTCAATCAAAGCACTGGACTCAATTTATCATCGTTTTGTCAATTTTCTTTTCAAAGACGAATATTCTTCAAACAATTACTGCGGTAGACCATGTTCAGAGACAGCACCACTGAAAGGTGTTTTGATCTTCAATCTATAATCTCAAATTCTGTCGGACTGTAAACATGTTGCTTGAAATGTCATTGATCTATAAAAATATTAATTTTAGTCAAGGTCTTCCCAATGCATTTCACGGAGTCGCTTGTGTCTGTTTTTAAGTCTTAGCCAGCTTGGAGCATACGGTTCCACGTGAATGTTGGGGTATTTTGGTTTCTGGGGTGGTGGAGACAGAGATGATGTCTTTAACTTCTCCTTTAATATTTCCTCATTGATATCCTTCACATCACGGTATCTGTCGAGGTACCTGTAAATATATAAAAACAAATGTATTATCATGACCACACGGAGTTAGAAAACAGCAAGTTCAAAGTCTGCTTTGATTTTATTCATTACCAATGACTGTTCACCGACATATGGCTGTTCACTCAAATTGTTGACTAATAGAATCCATCCCTGATGTGAGGTAGCGATAAGCTTATTCAAACCTAAGGGATAAAATATTGAGCAGGAGACCTGAGGCTTTGCCGAGGGTCTTTTGCTCAATATTTTATCCCAAGGGGTTGAATAACCTTATCCTTACCTCATATCAGGGATGGATTCTATTAGTCAACAATTTGAGTGAACAGCCATATGTCGGTGAACAGTCATTGGTAATGAATAAAATCAAAGCAGACTTTGAACTTGAACCTAAAACCCGTAAAAACAGCTGCTCTTCTAGTAAAGTTGTCAACTGTCCACACATTTCTCATTTGCATATGAAGCCCGGATTGCAATTGTTAGTGACGTCAATGACCCTGACTGACCCCAAAACGTCATAAATTGACGTCATGACCAATCTCTCTCCCCCTTAAGGGGGTGAATGATTCTTTTTCTCTTACCTTGTTAACTCAATGTGTATCATTTGCATAATGTAGTGTTAACATTACAGGCTAAATTCAGGGTTGATGTGACGTTGATGGATTGTTGATGTGACGTCATACCATTGCTATGAATAGGGGAATCCCCCCCCCCCAGTCTCAACCCTAGGGTGAGATTGTGGATACACCTGTCCAGGGTAAGAGAAAAAAGCATGACAAACCAGAGTCTCTCATTTTGGAACCTCTACTAAACAGTCAAATATATGTCACATATCGTAACTTACAGGTTGAAGGGTTTTCCTTGGGGGAACTTTTCTTGTTTTGGATGATAGGGTGGTGGATGCATGAATTCAAATGATGGTTCCTTCATATCTGAAATAAAAAAATAACTACCATAGTAATTACGAGGTACAATTTGAAAAAGAAATATTCCCTTAAATCTGATTTACAAATTCCTAACACAAGAGGCAATTTGAATCTGCTATTAAAGATTTGATGATTTTTGAAAAAGGTATTCCCATATTTTCAAACCCTTAAATGTCACAAAATTCAAATAGAGAATGTCAAACTTGACAGGATTGAATTTATTAAATCTTGACTATCAATTATCAACAAAATTTTCAAAAAGCGGTTTAACAAAAATATAAAATATAAAATTGAAAATTACTTTCTAAAGTCCATTTATGTAACAACCAAAAAGCAAATTCTATAAAATTTCATGAATAACACACATAAGCCTACTGCAGTATGGTAAACCTACCTAATTTGTGCCAGAATGTTTTGGTCACAGACTCGTCCCACTCACTCTGGAAGAAAGCCAAGGACACTGGCGTGATATCATCTTCCAGACGTCTATAGAACTCTGCTGTTTTGAAAGTGCGCTGTTTTAGTGACAGACTGAAGTAAGACAGAATAGTATATAAATAATAATTTAACTAGTTTTAGATATAAATGCCCCCCCCTGCCATGTAAAATTAATTTCTAATTTTGATATTGTTCTATGAAAAGCAACAAGCCAAGACTTTTGAAACATGAACTCATCCACAGTATTCTCATACCTTAAATCTACATAAACTGTCTGTGATCTGTTTAGATATGAAAGTTTCCTTGTGAAATACAGATCCTATTACAATACATGTATCATCCTACACCTGTACCCACTCACCAATTATCTGGCCTTTTGTCCTGATGAAAATCTATTTTCTTCTCCTGTTTATACAAGACAAACACGTATCTGTGGAAACCTGTACCTCGGACCGGGAAAGGTGGGATGTATGAACAGAGTTCTTCCCCTTTACTAATATCATCACCAGGTATGTTGCCTCTACAAAATGAAACGCTGTGATTATAGAGCAGTTGAGGATGAATATTAAGACACGGTGACTGTTTGTATGTCTAACAAGTATTGAGTTTGTGTGTGGCTCAACCAAGCAGTAAGTTGGTGTGTCTGCCATATTACTTGTCTGTGTAGTCTACCAAGAACAGAGGTGGAAAGAAAACAGATCTTCATACCTCATCACATTTTGTTAAACATTTAAAATTTTAACTTATTCACCCCTAAAGGCACATTTGAACTCTTCGAATTCAAAGGTTGGAATAGTTCATTATGAAATTTTAGGGGTGAATGAGTTAGAGTAAATAATTACAAAACATTTTTTTTTTACAAACAAACAAAACAATTAAAGAAAATTTCAAAGATACTGATATAATCAATTATTGATAGTATATGTATATAAATAAATCTCAGGAAATAAATGTGATAAGACAAGTAAAATGTTATATTCTCATATCAGATCATCATTTTGCCAATAAACCTAACAATAGGAAATTATTACGTTACATAGATGAAGCCCTTCTCATTTTGATCCAAACTTACACAAGCCAGTGTAGGTATTCAGCGGAGTTTTTCTGGAGATGACTGTCGGGGGCAGTGAGGGCTAGTGTGTACAGGGTGTCAGGGACAAAGTCGTACTCCACCTGAGGGTTTCCTTCCACCTGTCAGCAAAACATTGTTTTAAAGCAAGGAAAACCTTCACATACAACTTGACTGGTTTGGATGATCAAATTTCTTCCATTTTTTGTTATTTAACACTATGCATAGGATAAATGACTTTCAAAACGTCGTCAAAATTTATTTGAAGCACTCTTCAAATTTAAGGTTATATGCGATAACCTTAAAAACACCACAAAAATGCTTCTTTCAGTTCAGTAAAAATAATAATGTGTAGGGCATTTTTTTCCAAAAATGATTACAACATGTATATAAAAAAATAACTTTGAATACCAAAGTGTTTGTATCTCTTTCAAATCAAATGGTAATAAATGACTGACAATGTTTGTACGGTAATGCCATATGTAAAATGAATTAACTTTTCTTGCATAAACCGTTTCACAGATACTTTGAGATATACATGTAAAAGCAGAAAAAGAAATGCAACAGCCAGACTTGGATTTGAACCTGGGACCCTTCCAACACTAGACAGACGCCTATTGAGCTACCTAGTCGCCGATGATCAACAGAGTCCAGTTCCACGACATGTAAATTACAAGACCAATAAACATTTGTCATTCTTTAACAATAAATAATTCTGAAAGTGTAGTGCATAATTAATAACCTCTGATGGAGAAAGTATATTTCCATTGTAAACAGCTGTCACACTTTCACTGTCGTAGTCGAAAAAGACATTGAGAGGGAATTGTGGGTAGAAGAAGGCACCACTGAAGAGGTCCCGATACAGGCCATAATGCTGTGCAACAGACAGCATGTCTCTGCTCCAGCCCATGCAATACCAAAGGTCATTGATGAATCTCAGCGCTGACTCATCTGCCAAAAAAATATGAAAAATTAACAACATATTACGGTACCTCAAAAGATTGATTGGAACCAAAGTCGCAATATAAACAAAGCTCCCAGAGGGATCTTGGCACCCGCCTTATAAGATCTTCATTTATCCAGTGTAAGTTTGATGGCTTCTCCTATCTGTTTTCAGTTTCAATGATAAACTCATCAATGCATCTTGCAGTGCCTTTTGATTAAAACTTCATACAGCTAGATTTTAACTTATATTGTTCTTTTACCTATTTATTGAAATGCTAATGTTTCAATTAGAACAAGAGAGAGACAACTGTTTTGCTGGCAGTCATATTCTTCTTCTGATCAAGCAACTTTATGCACAAATGAAATATGTAAAACTAGTGAACAGGAAGAACTAACCTATCTTTATAATACATGTACAAGGGAAACTTAAATCCATCTCAAAATCAACCATGCACGACTAAACGGACCCTCATTGGAAATTTGAGAAGCATTCTGGAATAGTTTTCAAAATAAACTGATGACGGTTGAATGGATGCCAGACACTGTATCACAGCATCAGCTTATATTAATGACACTTTGTGCCAGGTGAGCTCAGAGTTCGTTACAGACACAGTGACCATATAACTACATCAAGCTCTATCACTGGCATTCTGTCCATGTACCTTAATCAGTAATTGCTCCTTTAAAATATTGTAAAAAAACACTAAAAAAAATGCACAAGAATGGACAGAAAGGAATAAATTTGTTCACTGCATGATATAAGTTTTCCTCATCATATTTTTCCTACGTCATCTGTACCTGGCTTATTGTTGGCCGGACTAGAAAAACTTTATAAATATAGCAATTAATATATATGTGCCGGTTTACATCATACAATGGTTATTGAAAAAGTAGTCACTTCAAATAAGTAGTGTCCTTACCATCTTTAGAATCCAATACTGTAGTTTCAGTATCCTCAGATTCCTTTTCAACAAGCCCCAAATCTGTTTGCTTTGGCAACTTAAATCCAATGTTTACAGCCTTAGATGTATCTTTGGTCATTTCTGTAAACGGAACATCAATTGAATATACATGTATTTGCATTTTTTTTTTCATTTTTTCTCTTCTTATTGGTGGATCCGAGTTAAATACCAAATGATAAAAACAAAGTTAAAACAAGAGGCCCAATGGGCCTGCATCGCTCACCTGGTATAAATCTCACACTTGCAACCTTAAAAGTGATCTAAAATAAAGCTACAGGCAAAATATCAGTATTTATGATTAAAGTCATTCAAAAGAACCTGTTAAAAGATTTTAAAACATTTCACCCCTTGAAAGTCGAACAAAGTCATTATGTTGAACAAATTGTATGGCCTTTCATCTCAGTATGCAACTTGCAAAGTATCAACTTCCTGGGACCCATGGTTATTCAGAAGAGGTCGTTTAAAGATTTTAAACAAATTTGACCCCTGTGACCTTGAATATAAGTCAAAGTCATTCACTTTAACAAACATAGTAGTCCTTGATCTGACTAAATATCAACAACCTGAGCCTTTTGGTTATTCAGAACAAGTTGTTTAAATATTTTGAACATATTTGCTCCTTGTGACCTTGAATATGATTCAAGGTCATACATTTAAACAAACTTTGTATCCCTTCATCTCAGCATGCTACTGGCCAAATACCATCACCCTGTGCATTTTGGTTATTCAGAAGAAGTTATTTAATGTTTTTCAAATATTTGACCCCTGTGACCTTGAATATAGGTGAAGGTCATTCAAAACAAACTTGATAGCCCTTTACCCCAGCATGCTACTGGCCAAATATCATCACCCTGTGCAT